ATCCAAATTAGGCAAACCTAATTTATTTTGGAAGTAAACATATGAGAGTATAAAACTAGAAATTTAACCCATGATCCAATGTCAAAAGGTTAGTGAAATAAATCATCTAAAAATATGTTTTCCAGCTGCAATAAAAACATAGACAGCAAATAGTTTCAGATTTTTAAAAAAAAATTAGAAATGCTCTAAAATCGTGAAAAAAATCTGAGTAGTGTAAAACCCCTGAGGAAAGTTTCAGTAAAATTTCAAGGCAATTGAAGCACCACAGCTTCATATAAAAATTCATTTCCGGACCGACAAGGAAAAGCTTCAAATTTCCAGCAACTAGCTTGCAACTTCAAAAATTCATAACTAATTCATTTTAAATCCAAATTACATGAAACCAAAACTAAATGAAAGCTAATTGAGTATATTTTCATATTCTGTATTTAATTTGACAAGATTAATTTCAAGTTAAAATAGTTTAAGGGCAAAATACAAGTCCTTCTCTTCCATGCATGTAAAACACTCAATAATGACATAAAAATACTTCAAAATAATAGATCAATACCTCACTAGAGAATTGAATCTCTAGATATCAAAGCAAAACTAGGAGTTAGGCTAGATCCTTCAAGGGTTTTGAAGAGGAGGATGAGGGGAACAAAAAGTATTCCAAACTTTATGGTCTAAAGTAAGTGGAAGGGCCTCAAAGATCAAGGTCAATGCCTAAGGCTTCAAGCTCCATCCATGGAGGCTAGGGTTTTCTTGTAAGGAAGAGAATGAAATAATGTGGTTAAGTGTGAGTGGAGGAAATAGAAATCCTCCACTCACTATGTGCTCTTACACCATGGTCAACACACACATCTATGGTCAATTGCACAAAAACCCTCCTTTAAAACCATAATCCCAAAGTGGCCTAAAGATATTTGCAAGACTAAATTGTGAAACTACACTTGTCACCAATCTATGGCTCCTTCCTAGGCTTAATCCCACACCTACACTTGTCAACCGTGCAAGCCAACAAGTGCACCAATCCTAGGCCAACAAGTGGGTGAATCCTCACCCTCCAAATGTCATCATCCAATGCATTAAAATGTTTCCACACAAATGTCAACAAGTGGACCAATGAAAGTGGGACACTTGTCACACTTTTCAAAAATTACAAAAAGGTCCTTTTTGAAAATATCTTCCAAATTTAATTGCAAAATGGTCCCCAAGATGAAAAATAATTCCTTATTTAATTACACTAAAACCCCACAAGTTAAGAATAATTACACTAAAGTATGCATTAATGCCCCTTTATGAAAGAAGTAAGAAATCAACATGCTTTTCTAGAAAAGTAAAAATACCAATATCATGGAAATCAAATATCATGAATGCATGCAAAACCGGAATCAAATCCGAGCACAAAAAGTGAAGTTGTGCAATGAAAAAGGATAAACGACAAAAAGACAAAATGTGAATAGTGTTCGGAAAAACAAAATATGGAAATGACACAATCCCCAAAGGAATTTGTCAATCCAAGGAAAAGAGTCTCGGAAATCATTCCAGAGCACTTGAGACGACATCAAGTGATGAAAAACCAAACACAAAAAGGAAAAGACAACGGAAAAAAAAAAATATCCGTTAAAATCTGAGAAAAAAAAAAAAAAAGGAAGAAAAATAACCGGGTCATTACAACCTTCCCACCTTAAAGGGATTTCGTTCCCGAAATCTAGCCCCAACAAAACAAAAAGGCGAAACCAGGATAACTACGGAGTACATCTCTGAATATCCCTCACAACATGCTACAAAAGTAATCCCAAAACTGAAAACAACGTACAACCCCATGTCATTCGCACCCACGTGCTCATGATAGGACTACCCCTCAAAAGAAAAGTGATCACATGGCCACACCACAAGTCGAAACTCACACACAGAACTTAAGGCCAGACGAGGGAATGGAAGACAACAATCGAAAGCACCACTCCTGACGAACCATCATAAGGAACCAAAAACAACCACCAACAGAACTCCAAGATATCCATGAATCAAATCAAAGTACTAAACAAAGACGACATGGCAGTACGAATAGCGACCAGAACCCGCCTACGACGTACTCAAATGTGTGGTAGCAATGACAATTCCTAGTGTCCGCCCACACTTACTCGTCAGTAAGGTAGCATCGACGGCAACTAGCACCCGCCCACAGCACACAACTTGTACGGTAGCATGACAATATAAGGCACCAATTCATAACCTGCCCCCACTAGGTCTACCCATGAAACCTCTCAATACAAACGACTTCAATGTCAAAAATGATCATTACCAAAAGCACTACGGAAACCAACATTTTGTGAGAATTAAGATATGGTCCAAAGATGTCCGGCTGGACCATCCTGGCCAATACCAAAACTCTGACAACAATGCCATAGGTACCGCTACGCTTAAAGCCTTAAATCCTTAATACAAAAAGACCAACAATTTTAACATCTCAAAACACTACTATCAACAACATCAATTACGAATCCAAAGTCTGACAAGCAAAACAACATCTCCAAAATCCCAGATATCATCCTAAAATAGATCAACTATAAGACTACTCACCGTAATCAAACATCGAATCAAAATCCCTATCACGGATAACTAGATCCTCGAAATACAAGTCCACGAAGTCACACACACATCAAAATCTGGACAACCAAGGTCATAGAATGAGTCTCTCAAAATCGTACTTGACAACACCAAGCTAAATCAAAATTTCTCAATTTCGATCCATCTATAAACAACCACTGGAACTACGATTCCTCAAGGCCATGCCTAGTCATAACTAGGATGAGAAAACTCTACAAGCAAGCCATATCCAACAACGATCCTCCAAAACTCCTCCTAAGAGTCAACAAAATTCAGGCCTCCAAAACTGGAACAAGTCTCCAAAAGACATTCTCAAAAGAGCATCGAGCTCACCTCACGAATCAAACAATCCTCAAAGATATGGACATAAGTCTCTATAAAATGATCTCACACCAATCAACTCACTTGAGCACCACAACCATCAACAACCACAGCAGGAACTCCCCAAGGGAAGACACGAAAGAAAGGGGACCACCAGTCCTAAAAAGGACAACACCACGACTCCATCTCTGAAATAAAAGATAATAAAGTCAACGACTTCACCCCCTACATGGAAGTAAGTCGACCAAAATCTATCAAATCCTCACCAAGGACTCAAGACAATAACGATGATCCTCATGGACCCACCAACCCCAAAACAGTGCACAACACAACAGAGGGAAGAGACTCACTCCTTGTGAAGTCCCTAACACGAACCAGCACAAAACCATTGTGGAAACCCGCATACAGACTACGTGCGACCAAGGGAAACGAATGGGAAAACCAAACCTGAAAGTCATGCATATGACAAGGAATGCAACTACCAGAAAGAAAATCTACTTACATAGATGAAAATCAAAAGCACATGCTGCATGTCTCCACATAAACACAAAAGCATGTCATTAAAGTGCAGTAACAACATGGCATCTCGAAACATATAAGAAAGGCATGCTATTGCCACACAACAAGAAGGCAAACGTGGATAGACCTCCACCTACTCATGCATCACAATATCATAAATCATACTACTAACATGGTAGTAAAAGAAACTGCAGAAAATAAAAGTGATGCAACAATAAACCCTATGGATATCGTGTCCTAAAATGCCTAGGTAAAAAGGAAGGACCAGTCCTAGCCATACACTGACTCCAAAAACCAATGCAACAACAACCTGGCTCAAAACAAACGTGAGCCCTTACCACAATGGTAAGACTCTTACAATCCATCTCTGAATCTAACGGTGACACTACAAGTAACACTAACAATGCAATGCTCTCTCTACCCGAAGCATCTATTAATCGACTTGACCCGAAAAGCGTCATCGCGCAAGGAGAACTCAAAGGAAATGGCAACTCTAGCCATACAATCAGACAACCAAATCGATCACTACGACTGATCCCCAAAATAACCATCATCATTATCGATCAAAAGGACTACACCTGTCGGAACAAAACCCAACGCTGATTCCATCCGAACTGCACTCGTAGTTTGCCAATACAGTAGCATGACAGTGCCATGCACCCACCCACAACGTACCCGCCCACGAAAATTGCAATCTCAGAGGAACCTTCCAAAACAACCAAGGATCCCAAAAGGTCCAAAACCTAACCATGGCCTAAAATCAACAAATCCAGTACTACGGTTGTGCCTAATGGCTCACCCCACGAGAGCCTAAACAAAAGGTGTCTCTCCACCCACCTCAAAACCAACTTTAGGTCAACAACAACCTAAACTACAATACAACTATGACTACAATCACCATCAACCTCAACTCGAGCCTCAATTACCAATCTCGTGTCATGCCAAATATGCAACACAGTTATGCATATACAAATCTGATCTAGAATACATCATATGTCATGCTCTTTACATGATAATTAAATCATGCTAAACAAACGGCATGCCACATGTAGCACGTAAGCACATAAACATGTTATCAAACCAAAACATGTTATCATGAAGCATATAAGCCCATAAAGCATGGCAACATAAGCATGATATGCACCCAAAACCCGTCGTCCAAGGTATTCAAACCTAGGAGCTCTAATACCACCTGTAACGACCCGGATTTCTCAACCCGGTGCGTTAGTGATGAACCAGAAATTGACCCGATAACGGACACGAAATGCGGAAGCGAAAGAAGCTAAATGACCTCAAGAGATGTACGTCATCCCTAAGGCCCCAAAATGACTCTCCATGAAGCCACGGAACTCAAATGAGCCAAACAAATGAAGCAAGAATGCCTAACCCGAAAAAAGATGAACTAGGGGCAAAATGGTCATTTCTCACTTAAAAGGGTGCCACCGTGCACACCATTGGAAGGACAACGAAAAATGAACAAAATTAGACACAAGAATCGTCTGATTCTGAGTTCGGGCAAAAAAGATAAGAAATTCCAACACCCGATGCGAAAGTTATAAAGGAATGACTTAACATTTTCTAATATTTTCATAATAAACTTTGAAAACAAAAGTGCATAGAAAATGAGATACATGCCATTGGCCTCCGGCCTCATCCCATACATGTTAAATACATTGAAAAGAGTGCACTTACGGACACTTTACATATACGAATCAACGAATACAAGTTTAAACAAATAGGGCTACAAAGAGGCATCTTATGCTAACGCTTGCATAAAATAGAAACTTAGAAACTGTAAGCCATCCAAGGAGCAATGGAATCTTTAAATCCTGAGTCCTGTACCTTAAATATGCCCCAGTATTGTAGGGGTGAGTAACATAAAGCTACTCGTAGGAGATGAGCATGCATCGACCTAACATTTTACAATTTTATCACCTTATGGTGAAACATGTTAAAGGGGCTCATGCCACCTAACGTCTATGTCAAGATGAGACCTAGGGAGCATCCTAAGCTACCTAGATCATTTCTATCATAATCACATTGTTCATGCAATTCAAACAATATGGAAACATGTTATACAAGGCAACAAGATATAGATTCTCAAAGTTTTCAACTTGAAATCCAAAATACGAAAATAACAAGTGTGAGTCATGCCACCTAACGTCTATGTTCAAAATGAATCTATAAGGTCATTCCTAAACTACATTTGAACATCAAAACACAAATTATGATATCAATGCAATTTAACCAACAATGGAACTTCCAATACAACGCATGAAGCATGCTTTAACAAAGCTACATCTTAAGCTCAAAATAGGAAATCAAATAAGGAACAACAAGTTACGATATCATCTAGTTATCAACTTGAAATGAAATACGAAATCAAACAAAGTGGATACTCGGACGTCACACCGAATCAAACCGACAACATAATTACTTTAGGGTTACTAGCCCATGGGTAACCTCCCTATGTGCGCACTAGACTATATAGAGGGACAATCCCCCGTACTAGAACCAAGTCCTAGCCGTAGCCAAACAACGACATCCCCAAGTTTCCAAAATCAACAAATTGTGTAACAACGTATATATATCAACATGTATATACAAGATATCAACTATTTACCAAGCACAATCCAAATTTTGGAAACTTATATAATACATGCTCAAAATTCACAACTACTATGGCATGTAAGATGTCAAATACAAAGTGTGCAATTCCTTACACATAGCAACAATATATTCAATAAGGAAAAACATATTCTCATGAATATAAAAGTAACAACTATGTTATCCAATACTCAAAAGTAATCAAGTGAACATACATCAAATCCAAATCCATGATTTAAATATAGAAACTACTTCCAAAATGCAATTAAATCCATGGAGTAATAAAGTAGAATTTAATTAAACATAAATAGTTAAATTCTCTAAATTCCAAGTTAATCCAAATAATCTCAATTTAATATATATTGAAAGACATGTCATGGTCATCATATATATAGCATCAAATGACTAGTTCAGTGATTAAAACACTCGAAACAAAATTAATCAAGCTAATTAATTAATTTACTCTAGATTTTTAAACAATTCCAAATTGCCTCAATTTAATCTATGTTAGAGAACATGCCAAGGCCTATTTAAATACCACATTACAACTTGATTTAATACTTGATACAACCATGTGAATTAAACTTTCACTAAAGATAAATATTAAATAAAAGTTGTAATTCTTAATCAAATGATCCAAATTTAATATATGTTAACCAACATATCAAAGCATAATTTCCTAACATGTTACAATTCAAATCAAAGTTATACATCATCATAAATTTTAAATCTTATACAAAGAAATAAAAATTACTAACTTTCTAGATTTGATACAAGGCATATATATATGTTGTATAATCATGGCAAATACACAATACAACACACAAATAATCCTAAAACATTCCCTATCTCAATTGGAATGAAAATCTCAATTACCACCGAAATGAAATCGCCCCAAATTTTCAGTCCGCAAAACAGATTTTTCAGCTTGCTACCTTCAACTTGTAAAATTCATAAAAAATTCAACTCTAACCCAAATTGAATGAATCCAAAGCCCAATGAAAGCTTAAACACTGTAATTTGATAATATCAATTTAGTTTAACAAAATATTTTTCCAATTGAAACAGTTTTGACCCATAACTTTGAAACAAATTCTGCCCAGAAAACACATTTTCAGCTTGCAACTTTCAACTTTGAAAATTCATGAAAAATTCATTTAACATCCAAATTGGGCAAACCTAATTTATTTTGGAAGTAAACATATGAGAGTGTAAAACTGGAAATTTAAGCCATGATCCAATGTCAAAAGGTTAGTGAAATAAATCATTTAAAAATATATTTTCCAGCTGCAATAAAAACATGGACAGTAGATAGTTTCGGATTTTTAAAAAAAATTAGAAATTCTCTAAAATCGTAAAAAAATTCTGAATGGTGTAAAACCCCTGGGGAAAGTTCCAGTAAAAATTTTAAGGCAATTAAAGCACCAAAGCTTTATATAAAAATTCATTTCCGGACCAAAAAGGAAAAGCTTCAAATTTCCAACAACTAGCTTGCAACTTCAAAAATTCATAACTATTTCATTTTAAATCCAAATTACATGAAACCAAAACTAAATGAAAAATAATTGAGTATATTTTCATATTCTATATTTAATTTAACAAGATTAATTTCAAGTTAAAACAGTTTAAGGGCAAAATACAAGTCCTTCTCTTCCATGCATGTAAAACACTCAATAATGACATAAAAATACTTCAAAATAATAGATCAATACCTCACTAGAGAATTGAATCTCTAGATACAAAAGCAAAACTAGGAGTTAGGCTAGATCCTTCAAGGGTTTTGAAGAGGAGGATGAGGGGAATAAAAAATATTCCAAGCTTTATGGTCTAAAGTAAGTGGAAGGGCCTCAAAGATCAAGGTCAATATCTAAGGCTTCAAGCTCCATCCATAGAGGCTAAGGTTTTCTTGTAAGGAAGAGAATGAAATAATGTGGTTAAGTATGAGTGGAGGAAATAAAAATCCTCCACTCATATGTGCTCTTACACCATGGTCAACACACACATCTATGGTCAATTGCACAAAAACCCTTCTTTAAAACCATAATCCCAAAGTGGCCTAAAGATATTTGCAAGACTAAATTGTGAACCTACACTTGTCACCAATCCATGGCTTCTTCTTAGGCTTAATCCCACACCTACACTTGTTAACCATTCAAGCCAACAAGTGGGTGAATCCTCACCCTCCAAATGTCATCATCCAATGCATTAAAATGTTTCCACACAAATGTCAACAAGTGGACCAATGAGAGTGGGACACTTGTCACACTTTTCAAAAATTACAAAAAAGTCCTTTTTGAAAATATCTTCTAAATTTAATTGCAAAATGGTCCCCAAGATAAAAAAAATAATTACTTTATTTAATTACACTAAAACCCCACAAGTTAAGAATAATTACACTAAAGTATGCGTTAATGCCCCTTTATGAAAGAAGTAAGCAATCAATATACTTTTCTAGAAAAGTAAAAATACCAATATCATGAAAATCAAATATCATGAATGCATGCAAAACTGGAATCAAATCCGAGCACAAAAAGTGAGGTTGTGCAAGGAAAATGGATAAACAAGAAAAAGACAAAATGTGAATAGTATTCGGAAAAATAAAATATGAAAATGACACAATCCCCAAAGGAAGTTGTTAATCCAAGGAAAAGAGTCTCGGAAATCATTCCAAAGCACTCGAGACGACATCAAGTGATGAAAAACCGAACCCAAAAAAGAAAAGACAACGGAAAAAAAAATATCCGTTAAAATCTGAGAAAAAGAAAAGGAAGAAAAATGACCGGGTCATTACACTAAAAGTGACCTGGGCTTGATACGATCCGGATTGCTGAGAACGGGTCCGGTAAGGGCAGCTGAAATGAAGCAAGTCCTTGCTGAGCGGGCCTAGGTCCAGGAGGTTAGTAGAGAAGCCCGCAGTAGGATGAAAGGGGTTGGGCCCAAACAAAAGGAAGGTAGACAAGGCCAGCCCATCATAAGAAAATCAGTTAGAAAGCTTCAGGAGTGGTTGTAACCGTCTATAAGTAAACAAAAAGGAAAGGGAAAAAGGGTTGGAAAATGTTTGAAGTGCGTAATTTCTCTTTCTAAATTGGGGGAAAATTTTGTGCATCTTCAAACACCAACCTAAATTCTTCTGACATCACTCCACAAGCCACATAGCTATCGCTCAAACGAATCTTAAGACGGAACTGCAGTATGGAAACCTGGTAATATTTGATTTTTATCTTGAAAATTTGATCTTTATTTATTTATTTATATATCTTTTTTGTATTTCTTTTTTCCTTGGAGATTTAGATAAGATCTCATGTAAGAGATTAGTTACTTTCTTGAATATGGAATTCATTCTACTACTTGAGTATATTGAAATTTTCACTGAAAAAATTAAAAAAAAAAAAAAAAAAAAACAAAAACAAAAACAAAAAAATGGATGCACTAGTTTTTGGTTCTTGGCTGCCTTATGTGAAAAATTCTCTAGTTGCAGATGTAGAAATATGTTCTCCGAATCTCTGACACATCTCTGTTTTTTTTTGTTGAATTCTATACATCTTGTTTATGCATAGAAGGCACAATTAGGGAAGCAAATTTGGAGGGTGTATATAAATAAGCCCGAGCACCCCTTCAAAGATTTCGAGCCAAGCCCGAACAACCCAAAACTCGACTCGGCTCGACTCATTTGCAGCCCTACTTGTTCAAACTTATTCTTAATTTGTTAGAATTAAGTTTTTTTAAAAAGCTTGGAGGGTATTGAAATCGGCCTCCAAAATCTGTAATTCCATGGTGCTATTCTTGATTTCTAGCTCAAGAATCCTAATATAACATAATAAGAGACTCTTATTTATCAAATATTTTTAAATAACTCTTATGCATTTTTCGAAAAAAAATCTATATGTAATAGGTCCAGCACCTAGTTGGAACAAAGAAAAGTATTGGATAATAAGAGTAAGGATTTAATTAGTACTTCTCTTGATTTCCTTTCCTTGCACAGCTTACTAAACATATTATACTACTGCAAATGAGTTCTTCAAATTGACCGTTTTAATAACAATGTGCTAGTCAATTTTTTAAGTTATATAATTCATATTTGTTAGTTCAAAATGGTTCTCGAATATTTATTTTCATAGTTTGCAAATTATATGATTTTAAGAAATATATTTTAGTATTTTGAAATACTATTAAATTTTGAAGATATTTTGAATCTTAAAAATAATTCTTAATATATTTATAATTAACTTGCTTAATTCATTCATAATCAAAAATGCACTTTTAAATAGTTTATTTTGTTATTTAGAATTTCCTAATTTTCTATTTTTATTCTCACGTGAAATTCTTCCAAAGACCTAGTAGAAAACTTCAAATCTGTCTACCATTCACTGCGAAATGAAAAACATACAGAGACTAAATGTAACGTACAAAAATATTTGAATGTCTTTTTTGGGGTAAGTAAATATTGATAGAATGTTATTTATACAATGATACGAAATGATGAGGGAATGACAACAATAAAAATACAAGAACAGGAAAAAGAGAAAGAATACAAAATATTGATTTAATGTTCATTATACAATAATACGAAATTATTTTGAGGGACTGACAACAATAAAAAATACTGGAACAGGAAAAGGAAAAAGAAGTTACAGTTGGGAATTTATTTAAATGGTATGAAATGAGTGGCTAATTTATACTAATGGGTGCAATATAACCACCAAACATGCATGAATGGTCACACCTTTTCCTATCACCAATTTAATATTATTTATATATATATATATATATTCAGATTATAAACTTTATGGGCAATTTAACATATTCCAACCTAATTAAATTGATGTACAACGAATTGTCAATGATTATGGAGGTATTTTGAATGGGAAAAGCCAAATATTTAGAGGCTGTAAATTTTTTGATTTTTTTTTTTTTTTCAGAAAAGTTCAATTTGACTCGATAAAAGTTATTACACTATTTTCTTATCGAATTCCACCCTTTAAGATTCCAAAATCAGGTACGGTTGATTATTCAAATTATTTTATTACACTTCAAAATACTTGTATATATAAAATCGTGCTATTTCGTTAATTATAGTCTGTTATCTGTTTATTTATATATACTAATTCTTGTCTCCATCGATAGATTAGTTGCTTAATCATTCGTGTCAACCAGTCCTGATTGGTCCTAACTATTTACCACGGAGTAGTACTTATGCTTTCTTAGTTCTTACATACCATATAACACCAAGCGCATACCTAACATTTTGTATTTTAATTACAAATTAATTGATCTATGGCTCAAATTTATAACAATGACATTAATGTTGAACGTTAAAAAAGTCTCACTTTATATTAAAAAATAAATCGTCACAAAACATATCTTTGATCTCAATTTTTATACTATTATAAAGAATTTTTTCTCCATGTATTATGCAGTGAGATTCATATAACTTAATTGAATGATTTGACAGATAAACATTTTCCAATATACATTAAATATATATGTATGATATCAATTTCAAATGTGTCGTCACACCTCGTCATTCATTCTACTACCTTAACCATGGAGGCATTGGAAATATATAAAACTAGAATGGTAAAGCAGATACAGTATAAATATCTATATATACATATATATATATATATATAGTTTCAACGACAACCTACATGTAAATTGATGTGGAAATGAGTAGTTTTTTTTTTTTTTTTTTTTTTTTGAAAGTTAAGACATATTATGCGCACACTTTACGTTCACCAAAATTTAAACTCTCAATTTTTCTTTTGAAAAAGGGGTGATTTTGCTGGGCAAATTGGTCATTAGGAAAAAATGAGATATTGAGTGCTGGTAAGAGAAGTGGTTGCTTCGTCAATTGCAATGTTGGCTAAAATCATGATTAGGAATAGAATTTCAGAGAACAACGATCATAATTACAGCTAAGAAGAATGACCTCATAACGGAATATATAGGTAGTGCTGTTATCATCGTCGAAGTTCCATGTGTGAGAGAATGTCTTAATTAGCACTAGCTAGGCAAGTGGCTGAGGCATATATAAACATATATCCCATTGAAAATTTGGTCTTGTTGTACTCAAAATGATCATCAAGGCTAATATATATATATATATGGCAAGTGGCTGAGGCATATATAAACATATATCCCATTGAAAATTTGGTCTTCTTGTACTCAAAATGATCATCAAGGCTAATATATATATATATATGGCAAGTGGCTGAGGCATATATAAACATATATCCCATTGAAAATTTGGTCTTCTTGTACTCAAAATAATCATCAAGCCGAATATATATATATAGGGGCAGGCAATCTCACAGCCAAGAGTTCCAAGTTAATGAAATCAGGCACAACAAACCTTAGTCACACAATTCCTTTAAAGGGGCTTCATTCTCAAGCTCTATGCGTGAATTTACAATTTAGAAATAAATTTGTACAAAATTTGCAAATTGAATTTTTGCAATTCGCGAATTTGTTTTCTTAATTCGCGATTTCCATACGAATTTATTTATTATAACTATATTTATTAGAGTTCTCGTGATATGGAACACCTATATTATTATATATGCATTTATTACCTACACTATTACTCAATATATACATTAATTACTTAAATTTCAGTATGCCCCACCTGTATGGCATTGTTATATTACCATATTTATATCTATATCTATACTATTATTAAATGTGCAAAGTGTTTCAGTGTTTATTACCTAATAAAATCAATGACAATAAAATATTTATTAATGGATATAAAAAGAATAGTTATTTTTTATAGATAAATATCACAATATAACCGGCCCGGCCCGGTTATGATTATGTCTTTATCAGTAGATGACATAGGTCATCATCCTATTAATCCAAGAAGGCTATAAATAGAGGCATGGAGAAAAGAGGAATGGGTACAAAAATTGAGAATTCTAAAAATTCAGAATTCCAGAGTAAAATACAGAATCTCTGCCAAATAGTTTGAGTATTTATTTAT